TGCACTCCAGCCTGGGTGACAGAGTGAGACTCCAACTCAAAATAAATAAATAAATAACCCGAAAGTCAGGAGGGGCAAGAATAAGATGTGAGGGCAGAGACGAAACAAAAGTGGCTGAGGTTGACAGTTGGTTTGCTTGGATGATGAGTACATGAGCATTTGTTATGATCTTTTCTCTACTTTTCTATGTGTTTGAATGTTCTGTAATAAAAAGTTTTTTAAAAATTGGTTGAGCATGGTAACTCAATGCCTGTAATCCCAGCTTTGGGAGGCTGAGTCAGAAGGATTGCTTGAGGCCAGGAGTTCATACCATCCTGGGCAACATAGCGAGACCTCATCTCTACAAAGAAACTTAAAAACTTGAAAGTTAGCTTGGCATGGAGGCATAGGCCCGTAGTTCCAGCTACTCAGGAGGCTTAGGTAGAAGGATCATCTAAGCCCGGAGGGTCTTGAGGTGGCAGTGAGTCATAATGGTAGCACTGCACTTTAGCTTGGGTGACACAGTGAGACTCTGAATTTTTAAAAAATTTTAATTTTTTTTTTGAGTTGGAGTCTCATTCCATCACCCAGGCTGGAGTGCAGTGGCATGCTCACAGCCACCCCAGCATCGACCTGCTGGGCTCAGGCAATCCTTCCATCTCAGTCTTCCAGGTAGCCAGAACTACAGGCATGCACTATCACGCCCAGCTAATTTTTTGATTTATTGTAGAGAAGAGGCCTCGCTAAGTTACCCAGGCTGTTCTCAAACCCGTAGGCTCAGGTAATCCACTCACCTCAGCCTCCCAGAGTTCTGGGGATTTTAGGCTTGAGCCACCACACCTGCCCTAAATTAAATTTTTAAAAAGTTGTTTAGAGCAACCCCCTTGGGCACCCCCCCACTCTGGGATCTTTTCTTTCCTCTCAATAAATCCTGCTTTCCCACATAAAAATAAAGTTATTTTTAAGAAATCAACAGTTTGTGCCAGGTGCATGAGGGACCAGAAACAGAAAAGATAGGGCAGCCCTGGCAGATCACCCACTGTGGAAAAACCATTTGTTCTTAGGTGAAGAACCATTTGAGCTATAAAGTGTTACCTAAGCCAGGCACGGTGGCTCACCCCTGTAAACTTTGGGAGGCAGAGGTGAGCGGACTGCCTGAGCCCAGGGGTTCAAGACCAACCTGGACGACTTGGTGAGACCTCATCTCTATAATAAATAAATAAGTAAAAATTAGCCAGGGGTAGTGGCGCATGACAGTGGTTCCAGCTACTTGGGAGGCTGAGGCAGAAGGATTGTCTGAGCCCAGCAGGTCGAGGCTGCAGGAGCTGTGAACATGCCACTAAATTCCAGCCTGGGTGACAGAGTGACTCTGACTCAAGAAATTTAAAAAAATTAAAAATGTCACCTAAGTAGGAATTGGGAGTCAAAGAAAAGTAAAGATACTTACTGCCACCTCCCCGGGGCAAGAGAGAGGAACAGAAGCAGGCCATGTCGTGTGAGAGTGGGTCCAGCAACAGCAGCTGCCAGCCTGAGCTGACAGCGATGTCTTGGTTAGTTACTGGTCAGGTTGTCACTCCCTGCCCCATACTTGGAAAGTTTGGGACTTGTTCTCCAATTACTCACTGCTTTTCCCACCTCTAGTGGCACTGGGATCTGTCACTGATGCGGAGGTGGTTCACCAAGTGCAAGAACAAGGTGGCGGGTGGAGGGGCAGGGGAGCGCATGGAGACATACATGACACAACCCTACTATGGGGAACACAAAACCATTCACAGTGACACAATTGTCTCCTTGTACAAAATGTGCCGACTTAGGTTCCCTAGAATTAGAGGACCCTATCTACGGCCATACCACCCGGAACGCACGTGATCTTGTCTGATCTCGGAACCTAAACAGGGTCGGGCCTGGTTAGCCCTTGGATGGGAGAATTGGAGGACCCAGTCTATACTTTGATCAGAGTTCCTCTGGTTCATTATACAATATATAGACCAGGTGTGGTGGCTTATGCCTGTAATCCCAGCACTTTGGGAGGCCAGGATGGGAGGATTGCTTGAGTCCAGGAGTTTGAGCCTATCTTGGGCAACATAGGGAGACATCTCTATTTTAAAATTATCTTAAAGTTATAAAAAATAATTTTTAAAAATACATCATATGTGCTGCCTTGATACATGCATAGCATGAGTCACAAAGTCCTTGGCTGTCCTGTGAATTAAATGAAAAACCTTCACAAATAGACTTACCATGGCAATACCTCTCAGTTATTATGTTTTTGTGTTTTTTTTTGAGTTGGAGTCTCACTCTGTCACTCAGACTGGAGTGCAGTGGCCGCTCCTGGCCACTGCAGCCTTGACCTGCTGGGCTCCAGCGATCCTTCCACCTCAGCCTTCCAAGTAGCCGGAATTACAGGCATGCACTACCATGCCCGGCTGATTTTTTGACTTATCGTAGAGATGAGGTCTTGCTGCCCAGGCGCAGACTCAGGCAATCCACTCACTTCAGCCTCCCAAAGGCGCGGGATTACAGGCTGAGCCACCAAGCCCAGCTAGTTATTATGTTTTAAACATAGAATTAGGCCGGGCTCAGTGGCTCAGCCTGTAATCCCAGCACTTTGGGAGGCCAAGGCAAGTGGATTGCCTAAGCCCGCGGGTTTGGGATCAACCTGGGCAACTTGGCAAGACTTCGTCTCTACAATAAATCAAAAAATTAGCTAGGCATGGCAGCACACACCTGTAGTTCTGGCTATTTGGAAGGTTGAGGCTGAAGGATTGTCAGAGCCCAGCCCAGACACTGGGGTGGCCATGAACATGCCGCTGCACTCCAGCCTGGGCGACAGAGTAAGACTCCAATGCAGAAAAAAAAAATGGAATTATGAGAAGCTATGAGACAATGTTCTTAAGACTTTGTGAATACCACTTTTGCCCATTTATATTAGAATTTTAGATGTATTGTAGGTAAGGGCAGGTGCAGAAACCTCCCTGTCTCAAAAGCTGTCTTCCTCCCTCCTTCTACATGAAAATGTGACCTTCTAGTTAGCCTTCCAGTTGTTTCTCTGGAAATCTGATGATGTCATGTCAGCCATGTTGTTAGGCAGCCTTGCTTATGGTCATATGACCTCTGGTTGGTAAACTGCTTTTCACCTGAGATAATCCTAAATACCTAGCAGAAAGCTCTGTCTCTGGGATCTGTGAGCATAGTGCCTTGTCGGGACCCCAGAAATAACCCCTATGGAGTTGTTACAAGAGATACTGACTCTGACGACTTTTCACCCAGGGAGGCTTCTACACCTGTCAGGGAGAATTCTGCCTCCTTGCACCTGAGTTGTCACCTAAGGGGCCACGGAGACTTGCTCTGTGCCGCCATGTGAACTGCCACAAGAGCTGTCCTTTGGCTGGAGGTTTCCTTCCAAGGAAGTCAAGGGCCTCCTGTGGCCTCCTGTGGCCTTGTGCATCTGAAGGCAACGTCATAGCTAATATAAATACAATTATGACCGGGCGCTCACACCTGTAATTCCAGCACTTTGAGAGGCTGAGGTGAGACCTCATCTCTATAATAAGTCAAAAAATTAGCAGGGTATGGTGGCACAGGCCTATAATTCCAGCTACTTGGAAAGCTGAGGTAGAAGGATCATGTGAGAAGGTAGTGGCACAATCCTCACAGGCAGAGGCTGCAGTAGCTGTGATTGTGAAACTGCATTCCAAGATGGGTGAAAGAATGAGACGCCAACTAAAATACACACACACACGGTGCCAAAAAGAAGTATACACATTTTAAGAAAGGAAAAAACTGCATTAAAATCGTAGGCTGGATGCAGTGACTCACATCTATAATCCTAGCACTTTGGGAGGCCGAGGTGAGAGGATTGCCTGAGTCCACAGGTTCGAGACCAGCCTGGGCAACTTGGCGAGACCTTGTCTCTACGATTAATCAAAAAAATTAGTCGGGCGTGCTGGCGTACACGTGTAGTTCCAGCTACTTGGAAGGCTAAGGTGGAAGGATCACCTGAGCCCAGCAGCTGGAGGCCACAGTGGCCATGAGTGTGCCACTGTACTCCAGCCTGGGTAACAGAGTGAGATTCCAACTCAAAAAAACAAAAACAAAAAACAAAAAAAATTTGTAATATTCAATATACACTGATAACAAAGGATGAATACATTTGACTTCTGCAATTACAAGAGGTGCTCAAAGTGGTTACCATCAGCATCCAGGCACTTTTTTTTTTTTTTTTTTTTGAGAGGGAGTCTCACTCTGTCGTAGAATCCCAGCACTTTGGGAGGCCAAGGTGAGAGGATTGCCTGAGCTCACGGGTTCAAGACCAGCCTGGGCAACTTGGGGAGACCTCATCTCCACAATAAACCAAAAACTTAGCTGGGCATGATAGTACATGCCTATAGTTCCAGCTACTTGGAAGGCTGAGGCAGAAGGATCGCCTGAGTCCATCAGGTCGAGGTGGCAGTGGCTGTGAGCATGCCAGTGCATTCCAACCAGAGCAACAGAGTGAAACTCCAACTCAAAACAAAAAAAATAAAAAATAAAGCCTATGTATGTGTGTCTGTATGTAGATATATGATTTTTTCTTTGTAATTCTCTTTCAGTCACCATCGGGCCTCCAAGAAACATCTGGGTGACCCCAGGAGAAGGCTCCCTTATCATCAGATTCTCCTCCCCCTTTGACATTGATACCTCCACAGCCACCTTTCAGTACTATGTCCATTACCGGGAAAAAGCAGGTGTGCAACAGGCAAGAGCATTTTTCTTCTTTATTTTGATTTTCTTTTCTTTTGAGTTTCTGGCTTAGCAAAACAAAGAAAACTTTAAATGGGGAAGGAGGACACTCTCCCCTTCGAGTCTGAGCCCTGAGGCTCTTTCATCTCCTCTTCAAGGCCTATTTTTCTACTCCCTGTGCTGAGCCTTCCTTCTGCCAGATTGATCTGAGGGCCTCCTCTGATGTCACCCTGTGTCCCTTGTGTGGGGTCCAGACTTTGCAGGTTCATTGCTCGTGATGTCTTTGCCACACTCTGGAGTGTCGAGGTTTTCGTGGGCCTGTTTCTGCAACAGGGAATTAACTATATAAATGGTTCGAACAGTTTGCAAAGGGGGCATGTGTGAAATAGGTGGAAAACCTATAGGAAGAAGAAATAGCATTCCAGAGAGAAGCACCAGCAGGCATGAGAAGGCTCGGCACGTGTGGAGAACTACAAGCATTTAGGTCAGAAATGCGGCCACATGAGAGGTTGTGGCAGGTGACAGGACTGACAAAGGTACATCAGGTCAAGGGGGCCTGGTCAGCCCAAGACAGTACAAGAAAAAAATGGTCTCACATCCTCTCCAGTGCCTAATTATCCCAGCTGCAGTTAGTGAAGGTTTATTATTAATAAGAACATCATAATCCTCTACACTCAACATTATTATAGCTTGTTTTTTTTTTTTGAGTCAGAGGCTCACTCTGTCACCCAGGATGGAGTGCTGTGGCATGCTCACAGTCACTGCAGCTTTGGCCTGCTGGGCTCAGGTGATCCTTCCACCTCAGCCTTCCAAGTGGCTAAACCATAAGCATGTGCCACCATGCCCAGCTGTTGTTTTTTTTTGGTTTATTGTGGAGACGAGATCTCGTCAAGTTGTCTGGGCTGGTCTCGAACCCCTGGTCTCAGGCAATCCTCTGGCCTCCACCTCTCAAAGTGCTGGGATTTCAGGCGTGAGTCACCACACCTGGACAATTTTTTTTTTTCTTGAGACAAGATTTCACTTTGTTGCCCAGGCTAGAGTACAGTGGCATAATCTCAGCTCACTACAACCTCAAACTCCTGGGCTTAGGCAATACTTCTCCCTCAGCCTCCCGAGTAGCCGAGACTACAGGCGTGTGCCATCATGCCTAGCTAATTTTTCTGTTTTTTGTAGAGAGGGGGTCTTCCTTTGTTACCCAGTCTGGTCTTGAACTCCTGGACTCAAACAATTCTCCCTCCTTGGCCTCCCAAGTGCTGGGATTATAGGCACGAGCCACTGCACCTGGCTTCAACATTATTATAATTTATTATAATGCTTTTTTTTTTTTTAATTTGGAGTCTCACTCTTGTCACTCAGGCTGGCATGCAGTGACATGCTCACGGCCACCATAGCCTCAAACTACTGGGCTCAGGTGATCCTTCAGCCTCAGCCTTCCAAGTAGCTGGAAGTACAGACGCATGCCACCATGCCCAGCTAGTTCTTTTTTGTTTGTTTGTTTGGTGATTTAATGTAGAGATGAGGTCTCACCAATTTGCCCATGCTGGTCTCGAACCTCTGGGCTCAGGCAATCCTTTCATCCCAACCTTCCAAAGTGCTGGGATTACAGGCTGAGCCACTGCACCCAGCCTATTATAATTCCTAATAATAATAAGAGCTTATATTTATCGAGAGCTTTCTTTTGTGTTTGATGCTGGACCCAGCATTCAGATGCTTCATCTCATCTCACCATAATAAGATGTTTCACAGAAAGGGAAGCCAAGTCGTTAGGTAACTTCCCCAGGGTGAGCAGCTGACCACTGGCAAAGTGAAATAGAGACATCTAGCTTCAGGGCTTCATCCTTGACCACCATGTTTTTCCACCACATACTTTATATTTGCATTTTCACTTTATTTCTTTATGCTGAGCATGAAACTGGGGAGGGTAAGACGCACTGAAAAGCAGACTCTTAATATCTAGGGAAATACACCTTTCCTTACATCACACCTCAAAGTCTGCGTCAGCAGGGAGAGAGAGCGCCTGGCAGGATCTAGAAGGGAGAGCTGACTGCACCTCCAAGTCCATCTTCATTAGGGATCAGAGGTGGTGCCAGCAGTGAAGACTGGCTTGGAGCTCCGGCCATATTTTCTCCACCTTTTGGTTGGTTTCCTGACTCAAGGGCTCCATATTACAGTGCTCTCTCTCCGAGAGCCTGTCCACGCTCTTGTCTTCTTATGACAGAGTCAATCCATTCACTGCGCTCAATCACCCCAAGGCGAGCTGCCTTTGGTATCCTGGAGCCGAGGAGAGCTGCCCAGTGCTGGAGGACTCTGCCTCTGGGAAAATGGACCCAGCCTCACTGAGCAGGGCACCCTGATGAAATATGCACTGCACCCTGACGAAAGGCACACAGCCGTGACTCCACTGCCTGGGACGTTGCAGCACCATCACTCGGCCTCCCTGGCTTGTACTTTCCTCTTGTGTAAAATGAACCAGCTGAGTTTTAACTTGAGACCTGCTGGGAGGAGCAGATGTGAGGGAGCACAATCCCTTTTGAGCCTCTTGACCAGAGCTATACCCTGGGCTTCCATGAACAAAGATTCAAGGATGGACTGGGCCTGGTGGCTCATACTGGTAATCCCAGCACTTTGGGAGGTCCAGGCAAGAGGATTGTTTGAGCCAGCGTAGCAAGACCCTGTCTCTACAAAAAAATAAAACAATGAACTAGGCATGGTGGTGCACACTTGTAGTCCCAGCTACTCGGGAGGCCGAGGCAGAAGGACTAACTGAGCCTGGGAGGTCAAGGCTGAAGTAAACCGTGATTGTGCCACACACTCCAGCCTAGGTGACAAAGTGTGACCCTGACTCAAACAAAAAAAAGATTCAAGGATGCAGTGACTCTGAAAGCCACCCATGTGATCTTTGTGCCAGCTGTGAGTCCATGTGTTGGAGATCCCAAGACCTCGCCACCCAATTTTGCTCTAGGGGCTCACAGGACTTGGCAGAGATGTACTCATGACTGTGATTTCTTTCAGTGGAAGGATACAAAGCAAGATGGCGGGACCTCATCTCTACAATAAACCAAAAAATTAGCTGGGTGTGGTGGCGCATGCCTGTAGTTCCAGCAACTTGGAAGTCTGAGGTAGAAGCATCACCTGAGCCCAGCAAGCTGAGGCTGCAGTGGTCAGGAGCGTGCCATTGCACTCCAGCCTGAGTGACAGAGTGACAGACTCCAACTAAAAACAAAACAAAAAACAAAACCAAAGAAGAGACCCATGGGTCCAAGTACAGAGGAGGCCAAGCACAAGCATCCAAGAGTCCTCCCCATAAAGATCTCATTTTCAAAAAGATCGGGTCACGCAGGCTGCACATAATTCCTGACAACTAGCCATGACAGCATGCGTGAACTGTTGTCTCCCATGGAAGCTCATCAGAGACTTAGCGCCCAGGGTTTTTAGTGGGAGCTGGTCATGCAGGCACCTTCTCCCTATCATGTACCAACACTGCAACTCTTGGAAGGCAAGCAGATGTTCAGCAGAAATAAACCGCATTGTTTGTGCCGAGAGTCTAGGTACAGTTGGGAATGAAGGGAACATACCCGAAATCCAAGTTCCCAGATGCCAGTCAAGGGCCAGTCTCGAAGGCAGACCCTTCGGAGGGTGGTGGCTCAATCCTACTTTGTTAATGCTTCTGCACAGTCTGCACTTCTAAATTTTAGAACTTCCAATTATACTCACTGGAACCCAGAAGGTCGAGGCTGTGGTGAGCTGTGGTCATGTCACTGCACCCCAGCTTGGGTGACAGAGTGAGACCCCAACACACACACACACACACACACACACACAGAAATTGAAATGGGGATTTACTAATTTCCAGCTACTACAATGGGCTCTCTGAGACCACATAGCAAAAAACACAGGCCTAAAGCTGTCTGCCTCTCACCCTACTCTCCAATTTTCACCTTAAATTTTCAAGCCAGTGACTCATTAAACATGGCATCTTGTTATACTTTGCTTGTTGTGTTCACTGTGAATTTGAGGAAACACACTGGCCATCTATGTTTGGGTGACTTACATGTGCGGTTGTGTTTTTACAATAGATTAAAGGCCCTTTCCAGAGCAACTTTATTGTGTTGGATGATTTGAAACCCTTCAGAGAGTACTGTTTACAAGTTGAGGCACAACTGAATTGGACACAGAAAAAAGACAACCTTAAATCCGGGCACTTAAGCAACACATCTTGCTACAAAACAACAGCAGATGGTAAAATATACTTTCTTATGTCCTTTGTGAGCCAGGAAAATAATACTCCTAAAACAGTGAAATCAGAGGCTGCTTATAAGGTGACGGGTGGCAAGAGTGAGGAGACCCATAGAAAAAGCAGGTGTAGCCGGGCTCGGTGGCTCAGCCTGTAATCCCGCGCCTTTGGGAGGCTGAGGTGAGTGTATTGCCTGAGCCCGTGGGTTTGAGATCCACCTGGGCAACTTGGCGAGACCTCATCTCTACAGTAAATCAAAAAATCAGCCAGGCGTGGTAGCACATGCCTGTAATTCCAGCTACTCAGAAGGCTGAGGCGGCAGGATCGCCGGAGCCCAGCAGGTCGAGGGTGCGGTGGCCGGGAGCAGCCACTGCACTCCAGTCTGGGCGACAGAGTGAGACTCCAACTCAAGAAAAAGCAGGTGTACTATGCTCATGCTGACATCTGCAGGGGCAGGGGCCACCAAGCAGCTGACACTTGCTTTGCTTGAATGCAGGATTGCCTTTACTGGCTATTAATTTAAGCGAACCAGGCAGGGATAGGGAGGGGAGTTGTCCATGGTACTGGCTCAGGTACACGGCTTAAGCCATAAGGATGGAAAACATACTGTTTTGTCTTATGTGTGGGATGGTCATCGTGTTCACTTCAGTGTTATTGTTTCAGCCTCTACCAAGCTTCAGCAAGTCATCCTGATCTCCGTGGGAATCTTTTCGCTGCTCTTGGTGCTGGCAGGGGCCTGTTTCTTCCTGGTGCTGAAATACCGAGGCCTGGTGAAATACTGGTTTCACACTCCGCCAAGCATCCCATTACAAATAGAAGAGGTTTGTGCTCACACATCTAAACGGGTGACACATTGGGCTCGGTGGCCAAAATTGTGGCCTCACCTGGCTAGGAAGTTGGCTGCTGCAGGCCCCTCTCCATGTAGCATGTCAGTCCTCTGAGTCCTGGAGGACGCCCTGGCACAGCCTGGCTGGAGGATGTCAAGATGGTACAGACAGTGTTTGACAACGTGAGCTGCAGGGCCACCTGTGTGCTTAGAGGGAGCTAGGGAAGAACAGACACCAGGCTGTAAGCGCCGGGCCTTGTACACCAAGTGTTCATGTAGGTTGCTAGTATTTCTGTTGGCTTTTTTTGTTGTTTTTTTCCTTGAGTCAGAGTCTCACTCCATTGCCCAGGCTGGAGTGCAGTGGCACACTTATGGCTACTCCAGCATCAACCTGCTGGGCTCTGGCAATCCTTCCACCTCAGCCTTCCAAGTTGCCAGAACTACAGGCATGTGCTACTATGCCCAGCTAATTTTTTATTTTTTATTGTAGAGATGAGGTCTCGCCAAGTTGCCTGGGCTGGTCTCAAACCCATAGGCTCAGACAATCCACTTGCCTCAGCTTCCCAAAGTGCTGGGATTACAGGGTGAGCCACCGAGCCCAGCCTTTTTATTTTTTATTTTTTGAGTCAAGGTCTCGCTATGCCACCCAAGCTGGACACACTATAGTGGCGTGATCATGGCTCACCACAGTCTCAACCTCCTTGGCTCAGGAGATCCTTCCGCCTTAGCCTCCAGCGTAGCTGGGACTACAGGTGCACGCCACCATGCCCAGCTAATTTTTTTATATTTTTGTAGAGTCAAGGTCTTGCTGTGTTGCCCAACCTGGTCTTGAACTCTTGGGCTCAAGAAATCCTCCCACCTTGACCTCCCTAAGTGCTAAGATGACAGGTGTGAGCCATCATGCCCAGCCAAGTTACTAGTAATTCAAAGAACTTGAGAAAGAATAGTAGAATGAGTCTTGTGGAAAAGCTTGTTTTCCTCAGGTCCCTGAGGCTCTGTGAGGTAGTTGGGCCTTCTGAGAACACGTCTGGATATTCTTAGGATCAGAGGCTAAATGAGAGAAAGATATTATTATCATCATCATCATCATTCACGGAAAAAATATAAGAGGGCAACCTTTTGATAAACAGCATATATATATATATGGGGTCTCAGTATGTTGCCCAGGCTAGTCTTGAACTCCTGAACTCGAATGATCCTCCTGTCTCAGTCTCCCAAAGTACTGGAATTATAGGTGTAAACTACCACACCTAGCCAAGAGAAAGACTTTTATTTTTATTTTTATTTACTTTTTTTTTAGTTGGAGTCTCACTCTGTCACCCAGGCTGGAGTGCAGTGGCACCCTTATGGCCACTGCAGCCTTGACTTGCTGGGCTCAGGTGATCCTTCCACCTCAGTCTTTCAAGTAGCTGGAACCACAGGTGCGTGCCACCATGCCTAGTTAATTTTTTTTGTTTATTGTAGAGACGAGGTCTCACCAAGTTTCCCAGGCTGGTCTCAAACCCCGAGCTCAGGCAATCTTCTGGCCTTAACCTTCCAAAGTGTTGGGATTATAGACTTGAGCCACTGCGCCCTGCCCAAGAGAAAGACTTTTAAAAGTACTTAACAGGCTGGGTGTGGTGTCTCACATCTACAGTCCCAGCACTTTAGGAGTCTGAGGTGGGAGGACTGCCTGAGCCTAGGAGTTCAAGACCAACCTGAGCAACATAGTGAGAAGCCATTTCTACAAAAAATGAAAAGTATTTGCTTTCATTGTCTAATAGGTTGCTGTGTGAAAAAAAACAGGTCAGGCACAGTGGTTCCTGGCACCTACACCTGAGACTCCTACTCAAAAAATAAACAGCAACCAAAAGAAAAAAAAGCATAGTGTTTGCTTTCAGAGGCTGTACATATTCTTTCATAAACCAGAGTCAAGGTAATGGAAACAAAATCTTATTCTGTTACATCTAGAATGAACAGATGTTAAATAAGGCCCAAGTCTGTAAAACATAGTGGCCCTTCCAGAAAGAACTATAGTCACTTGTTCCTTTATCTGTCATGATGCATTTAAAGTACATAGACATTAAACGTATAACAGGCTGGGCTCGGTGGCTCGGCCTGTAATCCCAGCACTTTGGGAGGCCGAGGCGAGTAGATTGCCTGAGCCTGCGGGTTCGAGACGAGCCCGGGCAACTTGGCGAGACCTTGTCTCTACAATAAATCAAAAAATTAGCTGGATGTGGTTAACGCGCACCTGTAGTTCCACCTACTTGGAAGGCTGAGGTGGAAGGATTGCCTGAGCCCAGCAGGTCAAGGCTGTGGTGGCCAGAAGTGTGCCATTGCACTCCAGCCTGGGCGACAGAGTGAGACTCCAACTAAAAAAATAAATAAACAAAAAATAACTTCTCTCACCAGGTAGAGCCCCAGCAGCGAATGCACTGTCAGTTGTTTCTCTGAGGCATGAATCTAAAACACAGTCTTTCAGTTCACTTTCCTAGGAAAGTGTGAAAAATATCTACCCAAATCTCTGAAGTTCATGAGAAGAATGAATCACGTTGCACTTGCATTTCTAAGGTTTCACAGTGCCCATGAGGCAGTTTCGTTCCTGTTTCATCTGGCAGCTCTGAGCTCACTGTACCTCAGTACGGTTTGCTATTTCCAGGAGCTCAAGTACCAGGTGGTGAACTTAGGGCTAAGCCTAAGGCCGGATGGATCAAAAGGGAAAAGTCAGTCGCTGTGAAACATTGGGACCTTCCTTTCCCTGACTCGCCCAGGGCTGCAAGCGCCTGAGGCCTAAGGACTCTGCTTGTCCTGTGTTCTGTGAGATAGGAAACGAGTGGAGGAGTGGCTGAGGACAGTGCTCATGACCTTTCCCCGTTGTAGCTGAACAAGAGCTCCCTTTTCCTCTTTCACTGAAAAGTTTACAGTTTTAGAGACATTTTAGAACTGATAACCCACAAACCTGCACTGAGGACAGCAAATGTGAACTTGCTTTTTTTAAACCAGAAAATCAGGGGGGAGGGGAAGCAGTTTGCTTTCCTTGGGCTTTGCTCTTTTACGTTTTGGCACATTATCATGGTTGGCCTTTGGATTAGTATTCAGGTTATTACGGAGATGAGGGGCGAAAGGATATTCAAGTTTTAGAAACTGTTTCATTATGGAACAAAAAGAAAAAGAGGCCAGGCAAGGTGGCTCATGCCTGTAATCCCAGTGCTTTGGGAGGCCAAGGCAGAAAGATTGCTTGAGGCCAAGAGTTCAAGACCAGCCTGGACAACATGTGAGACCTTGTCTCTACAAAAAAATCAAAAAATTGACCAGGCTTGGTGGCTCAACTTGTAATCCTAGCACTTTGGGAGGCTGAGGCGAGAGGATTGCCTGAGCCTGTGGGCTCGAGACCAGCCCAGGCAACTGGGTGAGACCTACAATAAATCAAAAATTAGCCGGGTGTGGTAGCACGCGCCTGTAGTTCCGGCTACTTTGAAGGCTGAGGTGGAAGGATCGCCGGAGCCCAGCAGGTCGATGCTGGGGTGGCCATGAGCATGCCACTGCACTCCAGCCTGGGCGACGGAGTGAGATTACAAATTTAAAGAAAAAAAATTAGCCAGGCATGGTGGTGTGCACTTGTGCTCCTAGCTACTGGGGAGGCTGAGGCAGGAGGATTGCTTGAACCCAGGAGTTCCAGGCTACAGTGAACGACGATCATGTGATCATGCCACTGTACTCCAGCTGGGCACCAGAGCAAGACACCTAGTGAAAAAAAAAGTAGTGTCATTGGTGGATGGAATAAAGTTAGTCCTGAATAAAATATAGTTAAACCAACTAAAACTAAAGTAAAAACTTGAGTATATTGAACTGATAAACTAATTACAATTTTGGTTTCCAACCTCTTCCAGTATTTAAAGGACCCAGCTCAGCCCATCTTAGAGGCCTTGGACAAGGACAGCTCACCAAAGGATGATGCCTGGGACTCTGTGTCCATCATTTCATTTCCAGAAAAGGAACAAGAAGGTGATCTCCAGACACTGAACCAAAACCCTGATCCAGCTACCAGCTCCAGGAAGTAGACATTGGGCCAGTTACGCTGCTGATTTTCCTGTCTGGACTTTACAGAGACCAGTACTCCATGCTCCTGCCTCAAAAAGGCCAATAGGCCTTTCTGAGAGACACTGGTTCACATGAGAGACAGCGACCTCATGAGACAGACATGTTGATTTTTTTTTCTTTAAACTAAGAATTTTCTAAATCATATAAGTTTCCAGAATGATCCTACGAATATATCCCAGAAAAAATAAGGCTTCTCTTAAACACTAAAAAGGCATGTAATTGTTTGTTAGTGAAGTGGATATGAGAGAGCTCTGATTTTTGTTCACTGTTGGTCACGTCAAGTGGTCAGGGGACCCATCTCTTCCTCAATTCTGGCAAATGATCCAAGGCCCATGTGACCTCTCCCAAGGAAGGACACTGAGAGGCCCTTCATGTCCAATCTGCTGGCTTAAAATGTGATTAATCGAGTTCATGTTGGGTGGCCAAAAAAAAGAATAAAATGTGATTAGTCCTGTAAATATTTTCCTAGTAATTTAAGTTTTTGTTTTTAAGCAAAAAAATAAAAGATTGTATAGTAGACTTTTTAAAAAGTTTAAAAAGTGTATGTGAAGTCTTTTCTCTTTGCCTTCTTTTTTTTTTTTTTCTTTGAGTTGGAGTCTCACTCTGTCACCCAGACTGGAGTGCAGTGACACACTCCCGGCCACCGCAGCCTCGACCTGCTGGGCTCCGGCGATCCTTCTGCCTCAACCTTCCGAGTAGCTGGAACTACAGGTGCATACAACTACGCCCGGCTAATTTTTTGATTTATCGTAGAGATGAGGTCTCACCAAGTTGCCCAGGCGGGTCTCGAACCCGTGGGCTCAGGCAATCCACTCACCTCAGCCTCCCAAAGCACTGAGATTACAGGCTGAGCCACCGAGCCCAGCTCTCTTTGCCTTCTTTATTTGGACCTATTTTCTGCAAAGTTTCCGCTTTTTAAAATGATCTAAACCTGTGTTTTCCTAATTCTTGACAGAGCCATTGAGGCCTCATGGAAACTCAGCAAGAACTTCCTACTGGTGTCACTGGATCCCTCAAAAAGTTGCAAAAGGAATTTTTAGAAACTTCATTGGCATGTTATTTATGTGTGATGAGTCACACTGTGTTGACCAAGGCAGAGGTTTATGGGTGATAAAATTAACTAATAGATAGTAGTGTTACTCACTGAGCAGGCAAGTCATCAGATTGTGCCAGTATTGGAGGGCACTTTTGTTCAAAGGAAGCTGAGCGAGGTGCCTCAAGCCTGTAATCCCAGCACTTTGGGAGGCAGAGGCCAGAGGATTGCCTGAGCTCAGGGGTTCGAGACTAACCTGGACAACTTGGGGAGAACTTGTCTCTACAGTACATTAAAAAGTTAGCAGGGAATGGTAGCACATGCCTGTGGTTCCAGCTGCTTGGAAGGAAGAGGCAGAAGAATCGTCTGAACCCAGCAGGTTGAAGCTGTGGTGGCCGTGAGCGTGTCACTTCATTCCAGGCTGGACGACCGAGTGAGATTCCAACTCAAAAAAAAAAAAAAGCAAGTTAGCCAGTTTCTTACCAGCACTGCAGGGCTCCAACAGAAAGGGAGACGGTGGAAGGTGGCTCTACTAACTAGTGCCTCATGACCTTCCCAGACTCTGTCAGATTTTATTTATTTGTTTGTTTGTTGTTGTTTTGGAGTCTCACTCCATTGCCCAGACTGGAATGCAGTGGCACAGTCACGGCCACCCCAGTGTCGACCTGCTGGGCTCTGGCAATCCTTCCACCTCCACCTTCCAAGTAGCTGGAACTACAGGCGTTCTAATTTTTGATGTAGAGATTTGGTCTTGCCCAGTTGCCCAGGCTGGTCTCGAACCCGCAGGCTCAGGCAATCCACTCACCTCAGCCTCCCAAAGTGCTGACTGGGATTATAACCTGAACCACTGAGCCCGGCTATTGATTTTTTTTTTAGACACAAGTGACTCCATTTTGATGCTGACAACTTTCACACTCCACAGTCACACATCTCTTTAAAGTACTCATGGGAGCGAAGTGAAAGTGATGCCCTCCTTCCTGCTTCCAGTCTGTAGTGACAGAAAACAGAGGACTGCACTTGGGTGTGTGGGAACTGGGCAGAGTGTGTACAAATGACCTGAGGTCTGGAGCCGCGTATTGCTCTGGTCAGGGTAACTCACCAGCACTCTAGGAAGAGGCCTAGGAACGACACAGTCTAAAAATCCACCCCGGTGTAGAAATACAGGCAGCAGTGGCTTCTCTGAGCCCCTCACTTTTCAAAAAAAGAGGGGAGAGGTGGACCCTCAGGGTTACTTTACAAACATACACCTAGCTATACACAAAATCACTTTCAAAAGATATGAACTGCTTTCCTTGTAATTAAATAGTGGTATAGTAATAGCATATAACAACAAATATTAATTCAACTTGTTTCATTTCTGCATTCAGGGTGAACACAAATATTTGATACATTCTTTGTGAGTAATAAGTGTATTTTTGTACTTGAAAAGGCCAAGAGAAGTTCAAAGTCCTTAAAGAGCCAATGAGTTCAGGTAGAATTATGAGGTTCTTGGAGATAGGCAGGTACCAAATTTTGCCTGGCACAAAATTCAACTAATCAACTAAATTCATGTATTTCTTAACTATTTCCAGTTATTTATTTGTTTAGTTATTTGAGTCAGGGTCTCACTCTGTCCCCCAAGTTGGAGTGCAATGTTACATCACAGCTCACTGCCGCCTCCAACTCCTGGGTTCAAGTGATTCTCCTGCCTAAACCTCTCAAGTAGCTGGGACCACAGGCATGCACCATCACACCCAACCAATTTTTTTTTTTTTTTTTGAGTTGGAGTCTCACTCTGTCACCCAGACTGGAGTGCAGTGGCCACTCCCGGCCACCGCAGCCTCAACCTGCTGGGCTCTGGTGATCTTTCCGCCTCAGCCTTTCAAGTAGTTGGAACTACAGGCACGCGCTACCACGCCCGGCTAATTTTTTATTTATTGTAGAGATGAGGTCTCGCCAAGTTGCCCAGGCAGGTCTCAAACCCGCGGGCTCAGGCACTCC